AAAACTGGGCAGGTTGTCATTAAAGAGTCAGTGACAAAAAAAAAAAACCAGCACTGACGCAGGTCAGTGAACCAGTAGGTCGCTCTACATCCTCTGTCCACTAGTGGGCCGTGAGAGAATTACACTGATTGGTCTGAAAACTATTGTTTATTTATTGCGTTTTTTTTTTTTCTTTGTTCAAAGAAAGTCACAGCAGTTGAATACTTTTCTGCTAGGGGGCAGCAGATAGCTAACTAAAATAATAATAATAATAATCTGTGAGCTGTTGAAGAAGATCTTTGAGACTGTCTTTCTTCAACTCCTGCTGGTGTATCAGTGTTGTCTTCAACTAAACAGGAGTTCGTTTTCTAGTCAATTTAAACTAAAATATTATTTTATCTTTGTTCAAAGTCTAGTCTAGTCCCAAGTCCTAGTCTAGTTCCAAGACAAATCCCAAGTCCTAGTCTAGTCCTAAGTCTAGTTCCAAGTCCTAGTCAATTCCCAAGTCCTGGTCTAGTCCCAAGTCCTAGTCTAGTCCCAAGTCCCAGTCTAGTCCCAAATCCTAGTCTAGTCCCAAGTCCCAGTCTAGTCCCAAATCCTAGTCTAGTCCCAAGTCCCAGTCTAGTCCCAAATCCTAGTCTAGTCCCAAGTCCCAGTCTAGTCCCAAATCCTAGTCTAGTCCCAAGTCCCAGTCTAGTCCCAAATCCTAGTCTAGTCCCAAGTCCCAGTCTAGTCCCAAATCCTAGTCTAGTCCCAAGTCCTGGTCTAGTCCCAAGTCCTGATCTAGTCCCAAATCCTAGTCAAGTCCCAAGTCCTAGTCTGGTCTATATACAGCATGCTGTGTACTGTGTACTGTGTACAGCAGTTCAGCAGTTGAATACTTTTCTGCTAGGGGGCAGCAGATAGCTAACTAAAATAATAATAATAATAATCTGTGAGCTGTTGAAGAAGATCTTTGAGACTGTCTTTCTTCAACTCCTGCTGGTGTATCAGTGTTGTCTTCAACTAAACAGGAGTTCGTTTTCTAGTCAATTTAAACTAAAAAAAAAAGAGATTTTATTTCATTTCATAAACTTTTTGGGAGATTTTTTTTTTTTGGTGTGTCGTAGTTCAAAAAAAGTTTGGGAAACCAAAGGAGAGGAGCCGGTAGTTTGTGGTTTTCCAGATTTTAAATTTCTCTTCGTTTCCTCCTGCTGCTGTTTGGAACAGCTGACACACAACATTGACTTTAAGGCTCACACAAAGTGTCTTCAAATGCAAATCTGAGTTCCACGTCGGCCCATTAACCAGGATGATGCAGCAGGACGTAAGGCTGGGAGTTTGGGCGGGAAACTCCAGGAAAGTCTCCCCGTTTTATTGGATCAGTTTCTCCCTCAGAGAACGTCGACTCCCAGACAACAATATTTCCATTTTTGACTCACCTGAAAATTGGTTTTCTGATAAAACACTTTAAACGACAAAGGAGAGAAAATAAACCATCAGCACTGGCAGAGAGAATAAAACACACACACACACACACACCCCCACACACACACACCCCTCACACACCCCCCCCCACACACACACACTCCCAAAATTATTTCTCTTCACTCCCAGAATAAGAGAACGACACGTTTATTGAACCTGTATTGATTCACTGAAGTTCTGCCAACCTGTGTTTTTCTGGACAGTTTGTCCAGCACTTCTCCACCGAGACCAAGTCCTGGTCTAGTCCCAAGTCCTGGTCTAGTCCCATGTCCCGGTCTAGTCCCAAGTCCTAGTCTAGTTCCAAGTCCTGGTCTAGTCCCAAATCCTAATCTAGTCCCAAGTCCTAGTCTAGTTCCAAGTCCTGGTCTAGTCCCAAATCCTAATCTAGTCCCAAGTCCTAGTCTAGTCCCAAGTCCCGGTCTAGTCCCAAGTCCTGGTCTAGTCGCAAGTCCTAGTCTAGTCCCAAGTCCCGGTCTAGTCCCAAGTCCTGGTCTAGTCCCATGTCCCGGTCTAGTCCCAAGTCTTAGTCTAGTCCAAAATCCTAGTCTAGTCCCAAGTCCTGATCTAGTCCCAAATCCTAGTCTAGTCTATATACAGTATGCTGTGTACTGTGTACTGTGTACTGTGTTCTGTGTACTGTGTACTGTGTACTGTGTACTGTATGCTGTGTACTGTGTACTGTGTACTGTGTACTGTGTGTGGTGGGTTTGCGTGTGTGTGGTGTCTTGGGTGCTGTGTGCTTTGTACTGTGTACTGTGTACTGTGTACTGTACATGGCACATAAAGACACCCAGGGCAGAAGGTAACTTCACAGGGAGACATTTTTCATTATTGGGAAC